TTTGGCCAGTAATCGTTGCTAGCCAGTTCTCTTGGATCTTTAAGTTGTACAAACAGAAGGGGGGGGGAGTTCTGTTTAAATACGAAAGATGCGAGGAAGAAGACGTCTTTTGCGAGTTTCAAGGCCCAGTTACGGTCCGTTTATTAGAAGCTTTTTGAAAGTTCCGATGTCGAACCGCCGTCCGTCAGCAACATTTTCGTCATAATAATTATAAGGTTCTCGAATTCAAGTTTTTCGAGGTGCGTTCAATTAAGAAGTTTGTTTGCTAGTGTCCAGCTTCGTTCGTTGACAGAGTAAAGGACTTTTCGTCCAGTTAGCAGCCAACTATGTTTGTGAATTAAAGAAGAGGTTACCTGACACTAATGATTCCCCCAGGTATGATCATGAAATTAATAAAAATGGATAGAGGGCATCTTAATTAAGCGTGTTTAATAAACAAATTTGCGGAAGAAGCCCTAAATTTTCCACAATCTTAAATAAAAGTTCAATTCATTTCGTCGAAAGTGAGGTTATATTACTTCAAATTTCATGATTATTTTGCAGTTGGTAGTAGTTTTCTTAACATTCCTGAGTGCCAACTTTAATTTCATAAGATGTTATGTTATTTTTCTACAATTTAATAAACCTTAAACAATGGTATACAGCTATTATACATGTGTTTTTATTATATCCTATTAGCAGTAAATAGTTCTCTACATGCGATATTCCTTCCCCTCTCAACTGTATAAGGCGGTGGATGCTAAGCAACGATTCATACGGAAAAGGCGTTCAAAGTTAATCGGTGGTCCATATCCGAACGAATTAGTATATGAAACATGCAGGAAGTGCACGAGTTTTCCCTCTCGATGATCGATACAGAGAACTCGATCTTTGCGAAATGCAACATGTAACCTTCTCTACGACATTCTTTTTCCTTAAAGCATTCTAGTTTAGACTGACGCTTCGAAAAGTGGTGTTATTAAAGTGTATCCACATGTGACATGGAAGTGTCGCATATTTGGTATATAAGTCGAACTAAACCTAAACTTGTGTTGTGTTGCACCTTTGTTTATAAATGAATAAAGAAAACTGTCACTTAAAATTTTTCAGTTTCACCAACTTAAAAATGACGAAATGTCAGTCAAATGACACCAGGAAATGAAGTGAACTTTTTAATTAATATAAGATTGTGGAAAATTTAGGATTTTTTCCGCAAATTTTTTCATTGAAAACGGTTATTTAGGTGCCTTCTAGCCATGTTTATTAATTTCATGATAATAATTTAATTCATGTACGCATCCTAAATGTGAATAATTATGGTGTACGTTTTTAAGTCGGAGAGTAGAAGCTGCCGAACCGACTCGGTGCGTGATGCAGGATGCAGTTAAATAGATGTGTCCGTGGTCTAAGCTATAGTTAAATTAGTGATCTGTGTGCGAACCTCCCTTTTTGAATATTTAATCTTGTGGAAAAAAACTCTAATACACAGGGTGTTCCATATAAAAAAGTTACATTTTTGTTATTTTCTAAAAAATGGGATGATGATTTGTGTTTTACCACCGCACGATAGTAAGGAATGATTACATTGAGGTAAAAAATTACTCCCTACTTTTTTCTTCTTCGAAACACCTTATCTCTTCTATCAGGGATAAGAACACACGCGTTATTTAATTTCGCCCGATAAGACTCCATATCGCGAATTAACAAGATGAAACCTTTTATAAGGTAAGCAAACTTAACCAAATGTGTCTTAACACCTTATCAAATTAAATGAATTAAAAATACGATACATTTTAATCAAGTAAATAATTCGCAATTACAAACAATTCTAAAAAGAAAAATAACACTCAGCCACAAATTCAAATGAAATAAACCAACTTTGTGCTTATGCGTAAATAATTCCCCAAAAGTACACTTAATAAATTGAAATTTTGTCATAAATACAGAGTGTCCCATCATTATTTTTGGCATTTAGACCGAAATAACACCTACATAACGTTCTTTACACAACAATATAGATATCTGTAAAAGTATTTTCAACAATATCGTGAAGACTGTCACAAAGAACTTAAAGGTCCTTTTGAAAAGGTTTTTACGCCAAAAAATCTATCTTCTGCTAAACCCGCTTCTTAATCTGAGGAATCTTTTAATTTGTTTCTTAAATTATTTCCCTTAAGAAGTTTAAATAATATCTTAAATGATTTTCCACTTTTAATTTAAAATTACTGAAGTTCGCAATTGTCAATTTTGCTTCTGGTTTCTACATCACCGTCTTGCCGAGGGCACACGGAGCACCTATTTTGTGACGGCAGTTGCAAGCCAGTTACATTTGCAACCAGTTTCCAGCAAAACTTCTGTCCGCACACGAGTGTACTCACAACGGTTATGTAACACTGATTTCAGACTGGGGGTCGATTTTTGGCCGTACGTTTCCTTAAAACGTATACGTATTCGTAAAGAAACGTATATTTGCAATTTTTGACCATACGTTTATATTGCGTATACGTTCAATTGTGTTCGTTTCTCTGCGAGCGGGTAAATGGCGTTCGCAAACGCTCGCAACTGACGTTTTGTGGGTTATGTATTGGTTAGTGTTGAAGTGTTGACTCTTGAGAGGTATCTACTTACAATAATGGATGAAGCTGTGAATGTGTTTGTAATAGACAATTTAGAGAATGCCGAACGCAATTATCGCCCGAATAGGAACCGTAATCCTTGCAACCCCATAGTAGTCTTAAATGAAGCACAATTTATCAAAATGTATCAGCTACTTCTTTCCATGAGTCTGGCATTTTCTTGCACGTCAAAGTCGTAGTTTGTTTCCCTGCTATTATATCGGGGTGGTTTTTAGCAAACTCTACTAGCCACCCTTTTTGGTTTTGCGTGGTATTGCACCCTCGCTTTGGCGTGTCCATCGTGTTTTCAGTATTCATGCTAATCAGTGCCTAAAATATTATTCTTTAATTTGAAATGACTGAGCAATATCTTCACCTTCCCACCTAAGCTCAAACGCAAACGTCAATGAACGTCAAATAGTCCGTTTTAGTTCTAATCAATCAATAAAGGCGACGTTGTCATATGCACTGTACGTTTCGGTTCCAGGCAGTTACGAACAGTAGTCAAAAATTGCATTTGGAAAACGTATACGTTTTTAAGTCTTCGCATCTAAGCGTATACGAATAGATGCGATTGGTTTCAAAAATCGACCCCCTGGTCGTCACAAACGTCATGTGCACTCCACACCAATACATTGTCGAGGTCACAATAACAGTTGCGCGCGTTACTGGATTGCAACCAGAAAAAGTCACGATTAACGTCCGTCTCCTCTATTTAGAAAAATTTCCCTTCTCCTTGTCCCACCATCTGTGTTTACGTCGGCGAAAAAACGTCTGTTTATCTTCACTTAATTAGCTTACGCAGCGATAACGAAACTTCTTATCGCAACGGCCGAATTTACGAGAGATAACTTTAACAAAACATTTATCCAATTAATTACAGATGCTCCTTAACTTACTAACTGAACAATAAAGACGATTATTTGAACTGAAGCAGCCTATAATTCTAATACAAAACATTCACCTCGAATTCAATACGATCGAAATTGTGTTTAAACTCAAATTACAACCAACATTTTACGTTACAAATGAATTAAATTCACATGGAGGGTGACCCATCATTATTACAGGTGGGTCTGCACTGCAAAACAATATTAAATAAAATTAATTTAGAGTATTCTAAATTATTAAATCATTTGCGAAATCAAAAAACACTGTTTGATGTTGACTGAGTATTTCTATAGATTCTGAATCTTTTCCGTGTTACCTCTTTCACAGGCATAAAGATAACTTTTCAAAAACATTAAATAAGCTTTCTTTGTATATTTTGCTTTTAATATCCCCTCTTTAATTCCAAAGCCCATTTTTAAATCGTTTCTCAAATTTTTCCAGATTTGAGTTCATTTTATAGTTTTCCTTTGTCTTGTTTAAATGTTTTATCGCCCTCAATAATTTCCGCAATATTTGCAGTCAAAATTTGGGAAATTATAGTAAGCTTATAAATCATTTCCGTCAGATATACTTGTAACATTTAAAAGTTTTACGAAGTTGGTCTTCGGTTTCCTTATGATATAATATTAGTTTTGCCTTCCATCGTAAAGGAGAGCATCCTGCCGCATTTCTAAGGTTGACAACTGCAATACAGGGTTCGATCCTGATACCGATTGCAGTTGAGTTTGTCATGACTTTCCTTCATATGTAATACCAAACATATTTTTTCCTACAATATTGTTATTAATTGTGTGTTGATCGTTAAGCTCGCTCAAGAGGATTATTGGCAACCAACGTTAGGACACTTTTTGCAATTACCTTTCGTTAATAACCCGAATCCTCCCTAAGGGACCTTACGTTACACTTCTGTTGACAAGAAGTGCTTTCAGGCATCTGTTAAATTGTTATTACTTATCGATATTCCAACATGAAAGGTTTTTATACGGATAATAAAGAGGATACTCACTTTCGGATAATGAACGCAAGTAACGAGATTCTTTTTCAGCACGCGTTCACTTTAAATTTCAGTATTCCCGTATTACTAATGAGAATATGTTCTGGTTTAATTTAAAAATACTTCTTTTGCAATAACTTGCCAACGTAACATTATAGAGAAATAATGACTTAGTTATGTATGTGTGGTGCTTTTATACTTCATTATAATTACGCTATATACAGCTAAATTACAAGATACTATTTCACATAAATATAGCCTCTAATTTAACATCATTCGAAGTGGGAAACTGAAATTGTGCAAAACGTGACCTGAATTTGGTACGCTTCCAAATAAAATTAAAATGTGTTCCGTAATATCCTCGATGCGTTTTAGGAAATTACACAAATTAGTAGTTGTTGTTAAACTGAATCAAACGTCACGATGCCACAATCCATTTTAAATTTATAAACCGAAGTGGCGTTTTTTTTACGTTTTACTTTTTAGGTGAAGTCGTAAAGAACTCTATCGTTAAAACTTACCGTAAATGTTATGACGTCTTGGTGAACTTATCGATTTCGTGTCCTGAAAACAAATTCAAATTAGTTTGGAGTACAGATATTAAATGAACGGGCTCCGTAGAGACATTCGGATAATATAAAAAGCGCACAGTTTATTTCCCGAGCTTCTATTATTTTACTTTATTTTTACTTCGGACATTATACCTCTGGAAGTTGATTATTACTTTTATGTAAATTACTTTGTAGGTTAATTCATAAATTTAATTGAAAAATGAGAGAGCGGGAACATAGTTTGGATAAATGCGACTGGAACTCGAATTTTAGTTTAGGAAAATTAATTAAAGTTTGCAATGACGACGGTACTATTTGTTTGAGTTAACAATGCTATTATTTTGCTCAGTAATAGGTACACGATGTATAGCTGCCTAGTGCTTCATCACTCTCCTATCTCTAAAACAAAGTGTAACATTACTTGAAAGTAATAAAGCCCAGTAGACTACGATATAGGGCGACAAGTTTTGCAGGAGCGGAAAAGTTTTGTATAGCAGTAATTTTTTACTTTAGGGGTCAGTTAGTTTCCCACATAATTGGAAATGATATTGGAAGGAAGAGACAATAATTAACGTTCCTAAAAACATCTTTAGTAAAATACGATAGAAAATAGAGAATTTTACATTTTGCCTGGTAATATGTGTGGTATTAAGTATTTATTTGTATATTCAGGTCGAAGTGTACTGCCAATGTGATGTTGCCTTGTATGAATCCAATAGCTACTTATGCCGTGAGGGAAGTACCTCATACAGTTCCGATTCTTCACTATATCATGTTCCTCATCTCGTGCGGACTGCAACTCTTGTGTCAATACAAAACGGGGGGAGCAGGGGGCGTCGAATTAACTTTTCTTCTGTTTAGTAGTTATGTTTATGATAATCGAATTTAACATGATTCCGATTGCATTTTCACCCGTGTTAAATTAGAAGCCGATGCTTGAATAGGGCGATGTCATTTTTATGTTGTTTTCTATGTATACGCAATTTATCATTTTTGTTTTTGTGCTAAATTGATTTATGGCTTTGATTCGATACCTGATTTTTATTGATTTGATATACTTGATTTGTGTATGTCTATTGTGTTGTTGATTTATCTTGTATTTGTATGTGTTATGGACAGCTTTTTTCCCTCAATGAAGATTTTTTCCTGACCTTTTCGTGTGTGGATGGATCCAACAGCAGTGACGATGTCTTCCTTGGGAACCTTAACGAGAGCAACAGCGAAGTTTAAACCCTGCGAACGGACTAAATGCGCGTCAGGAGATACGGTGTGAGAAGGCAAGTCGACGATGGTTTCCTTGGTCTGGGGATTTGTACCGGAGGGTTTAAGGTAATTGGACTGAAGAGTTTGGAACTTTTTGAGGTGGGTTTGAGTAGTTAATTCCAAAATAGCCTGAGATTGCTCAAAAGAGTTTCTATCAAAATTGCACCAATGATTTGCAGAGAAGGTATTGGATAGTTCTAGATGAAATTAGAAGTTCTTTCACTCAGTTTATCGGAAACTTACTCACACCGATAGGTACTTACATACCACTTCACAGCATCATCACGTCAACAACACGCTAGTTAACAACAACGTTTTTCACTGAAGCAAAATCCGCTAGGCTGTAAATGGCCACCTAACCTCAAAACTTTTCAAGACCGAGAATAAGGTCGTCAGGAATATCGCTTTCTTGCTTTATGTCCAAAAGATGTCAGTACAGTAAATACAATACCCAACCTGGACCAGCTCAAGTTTGATTGCCACCTGGTGGTGACTCCGTAAAGTAGGTGAAGATGTTCAAAGGTTGCGTGACCCGTGGCGGTAACCTTGGAATTTGATCAAGGTGCAAGAACATTCGACGTCGAAGTCATCAGAGGTCAATGACCCCGTTTTAGAGTTCCATTTTTGGTGTGGCACATTTTACCCACAAGATTATTAAAGGTCAATAACACCATGTCATACTTACGGCGTTTTGTCGTATCTTATTTCATTTTCATTTATGTTATGGCATATTTCATTTTCAATGTTATCAAAGATCTCCAAATGTTTGGGCTTGAATATTCCATTTTCAAGGTCAGCAGAGGTCAATGGCCTTATTCTTGTACTGATTTATTTCCTTTTCAAAGAGCCCAAGATCATTAAAGTTCATTGATTCCATATTTGTCTTGTATTATGTTCAAGGCCATCCAAAGTTCAATGATCTCATTTTTTTCGCATCTTATTTCATTTGTAAGGTCAATTGCCCAATGTTTGTGGTGTCATTTCATTTTCAACGTTATCAAAGTTCAATGCATTCCATTTTCTGATGTACTTATTCAAATAATGAAATACAAAATACCCAAACACCTATTTTTTTCAAAATATGTGACGCACGCAATTGGGTAATTAACAAATTATTAGACACTTTACAACGCGATAAAATAAGTATGTATAGGGGTACGTTACGATTGCATAAAAGTCAGTAAACCATAACTAACAATAAATTTATGGATGACCTTAAAAATGAAAATGGACATGGCAAAAAATGAGCTTGAACATCAAATTTGACAAGGCAAAAGTTGAGGCTTTGGTGACATGACACCTCAACAAAAAGGGTCATTGGATGATTTTTTAAGTAAAATTTGACACCACAAAACATGAGGTAATAAGTGATCTTGAAAATGAAATTCGAGACCCGGAAGATTCCGTTCACCTTGGATGACCTTGAAAGTGAACTTTGACCACCTCGTAATTAACAAATTGACCTCTGATGACCTTGAAAATGGAAAACGACACCGCAATAAAATGAGATTATTGAAACTTGATAACCTTGGAAATAACACATGATGCTATAAAAAAGGTGTCTTTGACCTCTGATGGCCTTCAAAATGAAATACGACACCAAAAATTGGTGTAATTAAACTTTGATAATCTTGAAAATGAAATATGACCTCGCAAAACTGGAGTCATTGCCCTTTATTGACCTTGAAAATGAAATATGACACCGCTAAACAGTGTAGGTAATTGTACTGAAAAATCAGCAAGCAATTCCGTTTTACCATTTTTTATTCAATAGTTTTAAGTACAGTGTTTTTTTAATTAAAAATGTTGTATACAGAGTGTCTAATTGGATTTATTGCCAAATTTTTTATAAAACAATGAGAATACAACTGAAAATTAACTAATTCGTATATCATGAGATGAGAAAAAAATCTTCTTGCAATTGTTGCCATTATAAACCTTCTAAGTTAACATGAGGAGCAAAAAAACCTTTTCCCTATCTTATTTCCCTATGTTCGGTTTTTTTAATTTTTTATTTATTTGTTATTTATTTATATATTTTTATTTTTTTATTTATTGATTTCTTTTATTTTTTTTTCATCTGGTATGTTAGTTCAAAGAAGAATTTGGCTGAATTTATAGACAGTTAAGTTCAATACTTTTGTTTATGCTGCGCTGTATCATTTTATGGATCAGGTAGCATGATACCCACGGTTATATTAATTAGTGCACAGTTGATGCGAAATCGAGCAAATGTAAGTTAACAGCTTCATTTTCATTCTCTTACTTGGGATGCTTATAATCAGAATATATACTTGTCTTTCTCAAATGTATATTAATATATATTCACTCCGGTTCTGGCTTACATATACATAAATATATTTCGGCCATATGGTTTTGATAGCAATTATCAAAGTACATATGAAATTTAGGTAAAATGAATTAATTAAATATTTCCCGCTGGCGATGCAAGTCCGACTTGTTAAGACAGCTATCAGCAAAAATTATGTAGATTGTTGTATAATCCGAAGAAAATAAAAGCACTAATTTCAAAATTTAAATAGTAGTCAAATTTACAACCCCTGCGACAGAAAGAAATACTGTCTCCATAAAATGTATTCATATATTTCCAGGAGAAATAGGAATGTAAGGCAATGTTACGCATAAAATCACAAAACTTATAAAACGCGCTTTGTTGCTTTGAGTTAACAAGACTAATTTGTACAGGGAAATAAAGCAGGAACTTCGCTGCTTCTGAACTGAAAAAATGTAGAAAGGCGTCTAAAGAGAAAATATGCTTTTTGATGATGTAATAAAGAATCGGTAACCGCTTTTTAGTTGGACTTATCTTTTACTCACTATACTACTACTATAAAGTTCACCTACTTTAAGTTTCTAGAGATCAAACTTCTAAAAGTTACTACAGTGATACAGATATATGATAGGTGCATTCTTAGAGAAATCATAAAAGCATTTGATTGTATTTTTGTCACTTTATACGTGATCCTTCCAGAACTCGATTTGAAGTAATTTAAACTTTTCTCACAAGTACTTACCCTTAAGCGAACTTTGTAATAGTCACTTCCAAAGATGACTTTTAAAAACACAATAGAAGAGGATTCCTTTCTCATTCGCTATAAATTTAATTACTCATCAATTGCCTTTGTGCCAATAAATGGTGGAGCTTGCATACCTACTCGAATTCTATAGTTATACTTTATCGGGAACGTTTGAAGTTCAATATTCGTTCCATTTTCCCCGAAAGTCAAATCATCTTTTAAAATACGTGAAGTTACAAAACTAATTAGACAAGAAGTTGTCCATTTTATGCTCAAAATTGGGTTGGATAATTAATGGAGGCGACAAAATTCTCTAAACCATTCCCCATGATGTATTTAATATGTCATCATCAGGTGCTACAAAGGTACCTACTAAGTAAAAATTAAGGGAGCTTGATGGTCAGTACTTACATTAAAGTTAAATTTGGTCGTTATTTTTTACTTTTTTTGTTTTATTCTAAATAAAACATAAAGTGTAAAATCTAGCTAGGTATAAACTTATAGCTTTGAATATATAGGTATTCAAAGCTTATAGTTATATGTACTTACCTACGATTTAAAGATAATAACACAAAGGGTTGATAATGGGTTGGATTATAATGAATCAAGTGCAAAACTTCAGTAAGTAGTTAGTAGGGGCCGAAAAATTAAGCGTTCAAAGTTGAAAAACTTAATTGAAGTGCATTGAAGTAAAAATTAAGTCAATCCTAAA